TCTCACTTGGACCGATCACAGTTCTCTTCTTTCTTCACAGGTTGCCCTTCGACTAAATAGGCACCTTCAGAGAGAAGCCCAAGTAGTAATCCTACGGTTTTTCATGGAACGCTTATCGACCCTTATTGAATACCGTTATTTGTATCCATTTTCAAGTTGAAACTACCTAGTCACATGCATTTTCCGACATCATCGTTTGATGCCGTCCGTCTTATACCCACAAATTGTCGATCTGCAACGCTCATTAAAGACGGATTGGCGGTTCTCAGGCTTTTCTTTGTGGTACTTTTGTGTTTCGTTCTGTTGTGCTTTTCTGTCTACGGCGATGCCGGCTTTAGTTCCGTTTTACATCTGCAAAGCCTCGTGACGGTCTAGCAAGTCTCATCGGTCACTGACTTTCACCTCTCGTCCTTTTTCCTTCTGTGTCCTCCGTCGACCATTCTGCAGCTTTTCTCTTTCCCGTTTCATTCTTCCTGAATTCTTATTGGATTGACATTTTTTTTCCATCGTAGCTACCTGCGCATTCTTGTCCTACTTTTTAATTCATGAAAATTGATTCAAAAATAGCAGAAAATAATTGGAGAGAATTCGATACCTGTCTTCTTTTCCTCCTTTTCTGCTTCTTCTTCAGCATTTTCTGCTGCGGCGTTCTTTCTTTCGTCTTCGTGAGAAGGATCTTTCTCAGAAATGTTCCTTAATTACTTCAGGATTGGATTCCTGTGGGTGCTTGGGAAGAGTTCTTGAACGAAACACGCTAACCGCATCGCCGCGCTTGGAAAGCTTCTCAAGAGTTCCAAAGTTTTACGTTATCTTCGATGTCTTCAAAATAACTTGTATTTTATGATAACGATAGATAACGATTTCTAAAAAAATGTTTCCAGCTATTTTGGTTTCGTATCACAGTGACTCATTCATTTAATTCATATTTGATGGTTAAATATTTTTAAAAATATTAAAACAATATTAGAAAAAAACTTATAAATCAGATTTTTGAAAATATTGCTTTTTTAAATATCTTCAAATTTTATTCCAAGAAATGGAGCATTAAAAGTAATTTAAAAATTTGCATTTCTATTATTATTCTTTTAATATCGCGTTTTTAGAGCTGTCTCGGTTTTTTATTCATTTATTTAAAATTAGTTAAAAAAATCTTGTTGATTTTATATTCATACAATATGCATTAATAATCGAGCATAATGCATTAATAAACCTCTAATGTGCTTAAAGGAAAATTTATACAAATACATATTACAGTATGGACAATTTTAACGAGAGCTCATTATTTAAATCGTTGTTTTATGTTCTCCGATCAGCATCGTTTTATTACGAAACGTCCGGGTGTCAGGAAGAAACTCGAGCTGTATCGTGACTTTTCCTTCGTAGATAACTTTCCACGCGCCAGAACACGCACGTTTCATCGATTTGTCATGTTGTGAAAATTTCTTCGGCTTTCTATACGCAACTATCTTCAGAAAAGAATTTACTTTATAAATTATCAACACTTTTATTGTTTCAACATATGTTGCATATTTTAGATAATCGGACAAAAATTTTTTTGTTATAAATTCTTTTCCTATCATTGCCTTGATTATCGTTCACGAAAGAAATGAAGTTTTCGTTTGACATTGCTTTTATTTTAATATCAAACGCAAATTATCGATAGTGTCAAAGCGCGCTTAGACGAAAGTGAGGAAGGATTCGCCAAAGCACACACTCGCTCGTGGAATGTTTGCTCGTAACGGCGTCGTCGTATCATCCTCCAGAAATAACTCGTGTCCTTTTTCGAAGAGGTTCACGGTGGGAGGTGAGATCGTCATCGTAAAGACAGCCGCGCGATAAGACCGTGATCGATTCATGCGGTACTCAAATGCACGAACCAAATTTGACACACGCTCGGGCGCGGCCGCCGGCGTGGCCTTTATAATCCTTTCGTGTCTAATGGCTTTTGTAATCGCCTTGCCTTTCGGAGAAATACAGGACGAATTGGGAACAATAAGTTGCTTCGATATCGCGTTCTTGAGTTATTACTAGCAATTAAAATGTTTTGCGAGTCAAGCTTCAGACATGTGAATTAATAATAGAAACCTTGAATTCTTTTACAACAATAAAATTAATTTTAAATGTGCTTTATTTGAAGGAACCTTTTATCTGAAGTTTAATCATCTGGTAAAATGCTTCTTTAATGAACGTTAATAATGCCAAAGTATAAACACTTAAATTGCTTTTTACATTTTTTTAAATAGCAATTTATTTTAATTCTAATTCGCAATTTGCAGAACTATAAAAGTTTTGCACAGAATAACTTGTCACTGAATCTCATAACAACTTGTTTCCGCTAATTAGGCAATTTAAAACTCATAATGGATTATTGAAACGCTACTTTTTGCCGATTATACGCGTAAAAAAGTGTCCGTGTTGTTGAATCACTGTTATGGTGTAAAACCATTAAAGAAACAAGTGAGTTCCCTGTACTTCTGTCCAAATGTGGCTTTTCTCCAAAAGAGGAAAAATGAGAAACCGATGAAAATTGTCTTTTGCAAGCGGCACCGCGCGCATGATGTACCGTTGCCAATCGGACCCGCAAAAAGTTGAACCGCAAAAGAAAAATACGTGCGCGCGTCTCATAAGACAGTCTTCCCATAATGGTCTTCAATGTTAAGACACGACGGTAAACGGCGTCATGCATTATTTAGCAAACGCCATGGATCACTGCTCGCAGTCGCGGCATTCCGCCCACCGAAATTATGGGAATAGCTCATGCAAATAATTTGACGAGCAGGAAGTCTTTTTAGCCCGCAGCTTTATAATCAATGAAAGGCTTTTGGCATACATAAATCTCATCGCGTTTTTCTTTGCGAAAATTGTAATATTACTTTTAAAACGTTATTAATTCACCGAATTATAACTGAATTATAAATTCCTGAAATAATTTTATTTTGTGCAAAAAATGTGTCACGTAGCATAATCTAATAATTAAATTATTTTGTATTAATAATGCACATTTTTACGTAATTAAAAATTTTAAATATGATATTTAAATATGACCATGATATTTTGCAAGCGCTCGAAAAATAAAGATTTCTTTGTGAACAGATAAAGATGTCAAGTGCTCGAACTTAAGTGCAAGAACAATGAGTTTTTCATTGCGTCTGATTGGCGCACGACTGCTGCATGCGTGCAATGATTTAACGCACGACTTCATAACGATGCCTAATGATTATGTCCATATTACGATGGTACCGATAAAACATGCACTTGCCCGGTAAAAAGTATACGGTCGAGCATTACGATCATTTCACCGCTGAGATATATTTCCGCAAACGGCGATGCCTTAAGGCTTTGTCACGCATTGCAGCGATTGAAATTTCAGAATGTTTATATTGGTAGCGTAAAAATGACATAAAAGCATATCTTTCTTTATTTACTCAATAATTTTTATATTTATCTGAATGATTTTTCAAATTAATATAATAGATGACGATTGATTCTATTCAATATTTGAACAAATATTTAGATGAGCATTATTGTATTGTATTTAAACTTGATTTTAAAATTCTAGATATAAAGTTTATTTATTATTATAAAATTTTTGAAACACAAGACATAAAAGAATGATAAATTATTAAATATATTGAAGACTGCTATCGCGCGCGCGCACAATGCTCCGATTCTGTATCAATAGAATAACAGAATAATACTTTGAAAATTTTACCGCAAATTGCGCAAATGGTGAAGCTCATGGAAATAGATATTTACCGAGACTACCGAGAACCGTTATCGCGCGCTCAGCTTAGCTTTACCTCAATTTAAAATCTACAAATTATTTAAATTTAATGTAGTCACTTTATAAAACGAGTATTCTTACGCGCAGCTGCGCCGCGGCAACCCGCGTATTCCGCGATATTACGTATTCCTTGTCGAGCGGGTTAGCTTCGGTGGCCGCCGGCGCGCCGCAATGAGCCCGAGGAAGCCCGGCAAGTGTAAACTCTTCGTGAATGGCCTCTATACTTCGTGGCTTATGACATAATAGTTTCACTACGTGCGCATATGCGCGCGCCGTTGTGTACAACGTCGAGGAGCCTGTGGAACCGGACGAGAGAGAGGACGATGTTATAAACTTCAAGCCCGCAACGCATAAGACGAGCGCGGGCGGAGGCATTGACCAGAGACCGATGATGCGTTGGCGTTCGCATCGAACTCGTCGGATCCAAAGAGACCAGCAGAAATCACGCGGCGACTTCCCGGTTTCTCGTGTTACCGGAAGCGACGCGTCGCACATCATATTTCTTGGTCGTCTCGTCTGCTAACACACCCGTGATCGCCCCTAGGCATCTAATCTGTCAATCTAGACTTTAGAATTTCGATTCGTTGATCGATAATGTATACTGATGCGTGTGGGCTACGAGAAAGAAAGAAAGAAAAAAACGGCAGACAGAATGGCGGGGTGGTCTTGAAGCATTGTTAGATTAATCGTCTGAATGATACTTCGTATTGGTGCTTGCGGTATGCGCGAATTAACATTAAATGCGGACCACCAAGACGAATTAAATATTAATACACAATATTATAATACGGATACTTCTCATTTATTTTTGACATTTAAATGCGCAGTCGCATAGATCGTCATTCCAGCAGAAGTTCAAGTTTAAGCGTCTATAATTAACGCATTTGCATTAAAATGTACAATGTATCGACGATCTATAGTTGAATCGGAACGAGCAGAATTTTTAACGGACCCGTCTGTTAACCCGCTAATTTAACCGGCACTCGACTTCGCTTGGAAGCTTTTTTTCGAGATTTTATTTATTCTTCGGTGAACAAAGTTGATCGCGCGCGGCTGCGCTGCACCGCAAGTTGACCCTCCGTTTTCGAGAGGTTTTCGAGAGTAAGCAACATCCGAAGAAACACACACACTCGAGAGATCCCGAAAGAACGGGATGGAAGAGAGAAAGAAAAAAGAGAGAAAGAAATAAATCGTGCTCTCGGCAATTACGTATTACCTTGGTGTGGAGAAACGCCAGGGATTTGTTCACGTTCTCGATTTTGTGAACTCGCATTCGCCCATTGTTAGGCTTGGCCAATCGTTCGCCGGAGATAATTTCTAATAGCTTGAGCAGCTTCTTGCCGTCCGCCAGATCGGTGAACAGATCGTCCACCTCCATGCGCGCCTTAAAAACCAAATCAAATTACGAATAATTCGATAATGAATTCTAAAGTAATATAAATACTACAATCACTGATTATATTTATTATTATTTGTTGAAAGCAATTTTTTATATCAACATTCGTCAAGATGATGAAAAATTTCTATATAAATAATTAAGTCCATTGATCCATATTATATTTTTATTTTATTCGAAATCAAAGTCAATCGTCAATTATTATAACTTATTTTGGTTTTCACTTTTATCTCTTCAATTAGTATTGCAAAAGATTAGTAGCTGCTATTTGTCGAGATTTACATTTTCGTAAAAAAAAGTAGCTCTTTCCACGTTTTTATTTGTGTTAGGTTGTGATTTTCTTTACGTTAAGGCTTTGATTTTACTATGTACAGTTGGAATTGGCATTGGCTTACCTTTAACAAAAACGAGTTGATCCATTTTGTAAACGTCTTCTTCTGGATGTGAAGACGTTCCTCTTGCAGGGCCTTGATGCGGCCCTGCTCGAACTTGAGAACGTCCTCCCTTTGAGTCATTCTCTTTTGTATCTGCGCACCGCCCCTGTATCTATCGACTCTCGGTGGCGGATATGACGGAGCGTATTCGAAACTGGTCCTTTTTTGGGATGTGGCGCTGGGCCCGGCGCCGGGCACATACTGCGCCCCTGAAATAGAAAGTGTTCGCTTTTGGAAATGCGTTCTATTAGCGTGAGCGCAGTATACTATAAACACAGGATACGCGCGACGGAAACGCGACTATAAATGTTCTCTGAAGCCCTCTGTACGTGCGCGCGATCGCCATGTGTTTTCTTTCTAGAAAGCACGTGCTAAAAGATCATGTTTTGTAAGTAATGGATCTTATGTAGCCGGTACAGATACAAATAAAAGTTGAAACCAAGCTCAACATTTCTCAAATTGAATCAAAATTTCTTTTAGTACATTGTTACAAACGGTGGAAGTTAATTATTTAAAAAATTAGTGCAAAAAGTGTATACTATGCATTACTATTCTTCTCAAAAAATTTTAAAGTTAATAAATTTCTTTAAAAAAACTACAGATTATAGCAATTTATGATATAAATTTTTTATACGAAAAGTTTATGCGGCGAGAACATAAATAAAGAATTAAAAATAAAATATAAATCTGTTGTAACGACATTAATTTAGAATCGTGACAGTCGTGATTTTAATTTTAATTGCAAACATTACTTATTGTATCATATTACGTTTTTTAAAAAAAGATCACGAATTTTATCGGAATCTTCTGCAAGCGACCTTTAGCAAACTTACATCAGCACAATCGTTTCATTAATCGATTTCACATTCCGATTCGAATAACAGACGTTTGTTATAATAGCTATGAAGCTTATTGAAGCTGATTCATTGGCGTGATAGAAATTTAATTGAAATCGAGAGACAAAGACTCATGCATACAAGTAGCTTATGACTTTTTATTATCTTAAAATATAACGCACTTTGATCGCTGCAACATTGCGTTGATTCATCGTAATGTATATCGAATAGCCGTGTCGATAAAAAATTATCAAGCTCATTTTATTGATAGAGTTTGGTTTCGTCTCACATCTCTTAAATGATTCAAAACATTTCAATGATAAATAATTCAACACTTTTTGATGTATCTCGTATTTTAGATAACCGAGAAGCGAAAGTATCCGTTGTATGGTCTTTTCGATATCTACGCGAGAAAACGATAAAGCGCATTTATCGTAAAAGAGACTGATATGGTTGTCAGAGGAGTGGACAGTGTTTGAGACGAAACTCCTCGCGATGAGAAGAGAACGAAGAACCGACATCTTTCTCGGAAGGATTAATGAGACGTGATAACTTTTACGAGTAGCAGTATTTACGCAGCAGGCTGATAAGGGGGGAATCGAAACTCGTATACACCAAAGTCAATATTCGAAGACCAAGTTTCGCGTGGAAAATATTCGCTATATAGCTTTACCGCGAATTTACGTGGATTAAATTGAACGAAAACGTGGCGACGCAAATACTAACTTTGTTGCGAGGGGCACGATTTCTTGGAAGACGAGGCAATAACTTTGAGAAAGGATTACCGCGAATCAACTTCTTTCGATAATTAGGCTCGTAAATATTTTGAACAAAATAGCTATCACATATTAACGAGGGTAAATTAATAAATTTGACGCTTCGAAAGAATTAACGGTTATTTGAGGCTATTTATAATCGAATCAATTTTTAACACTTCGACGATTCTTTTCATTCCGGAAATTTATAGACCGTTCAGTTCACTGAGATAAATTTTCTAAATGATGACTTATATTATGACTTATACGATGACTATTTTGAATATACATGGTATAAAGTAAGTGTGGTTAAAAAATACAGATTACGAAATGGAAGACGTACACTCTTATTTAATTTTCTCCAAAGTTACATACGAGAATGTTGATGCAAAACTCACATTTTATGCGCGATAACCCGATAATAAGAGCAAGTGCACAGACGACGGCTGTGTGTGCGCTCGGAACGACTCGTTTCTTGCCGGGCATTCGTGACTTGGCGGGATTATTGTCCTCGCTTATTGTCACTCCGCCTAACGCTACATAGGCCGTTGTCGTAAATCTTTTCTCAGTCTTTAAAAGGACGTGCCAGCACGTACGTAAGCGTAAATTGGCCGGGCGAATGCGAAAGAAAGAAGCGCGCATTGAAAAAAGAATGCGCAACTTTGAAGTGTCAATTATGACAGCTGCGTGTAAGCGACTGCAGGACGATAGTTAGCGTGCACTAGCAGTGCCCGAGGCGTATGTAGTTCCGTTTCCATACGATTTAACGCTAGACAGCGAAACGCTGTTCGAAGCTGTCAGTTTGTCGGGTGAATGCTTTCCATACGTCCGCATAGCTTGCATTTTTAATGAAGTTTTAATTAATCTAATGAGGTTTGATCATTGAGAATTGAGAGTTTGGAGAATTTAAGAATTTATATATATTCTATTACATTTTATATTATTTTCGGAAAATATATTTTATTATATAATAATATAAATTAATAAATCGCGTTTTACTTGTTAAACGCATAAATATATGTGTATTTTAAAATTTGGATTCAAAAATTGCGCAAACTGCAACAGAATTTATTCAATATCTATATTTTTATTTTTTCAAAAATTAAAAAAAATATTAATTTCTCAATATTATATAACTAATTTCGAATTTTGACATACGAGGGTTGTAGATTGATGAATAATTCGCTATTTTATTAATATTGATTAACGATCATTTTATCAACTTTCTAGAATTGATATTAATGATCACACTAGAAGGTACGAGAAAGCTGTTGCTAATAGAATAATATTAGCGCGTTGATATTATTGTCATAAAAAGATGAGGAAGCTTCGTGTTTTGGAGGATCAAGGACACGTCACAGCGAATGGAGATTGAAGGACACGCTTTCACGAGTCGGCGAAATTCGTTTGCATGCGCCGGGATTTTAAATGTCACGTTATATAGTGTCACGCCCAGAGACGCGCGCCGCACGTGCGTTCAGCCTTTGGGACACACATTTCGAAAGTGGATTAAGTGCGACGTCTTCGCGATGAGTTGTGTTTTGAGCGACGCTTTCACGCGTCGATATGTTAATTCGAAACGAATATCGGTTTGTTAAAAACGAAAGTTGCAAAATTTACGAAAAAATCGCAGCTGCAATGCAAAAATAATGGCCCAAACAAAGTATGATTTTATACAAAATATTGCGATAGAAATCTATGCTACCGAAAACCTGCGATATCAAGGATATCTGATATCGAGGATCCATCCATCTACCAAGGATATGGTACGCCAAAGAGATTTATGGTGCCAAAGATCTGTGTTAGAAGTAGCGGTACCTTGATCTATCCGTAGCTACCAAGGATCTGTAATATATGGCACTACATAACCGGCAAACGAGGGTACATGGTATCGGCGATTTATAATTCACAGGTCAATGACGCTAAGGATTTATGATACTAAGCGTTTATAACGATGGTAGCGAATTTATGATATCGAAAATCTGTCAAACATGATCAATGGAATTTTTGATGCATTAGGTCTTTGATGAATCTCCGCTATGCGGACTAAAGTGATATCCAAGTGATACAATCGACAAGCAGTTATGATATAATTAATTTCCAATGTTACACACTTGTGATAGCAAAGCGCGAACGAAGAAAACGCGAGCGAGAGCAATGGCAAGTAACATCTCACAATCAGTGGATTTGATTAGAGTGCTTAGGCGGTCGGTGCCTGCGTACGGAGTGTTTCTAACGGCAGTGAGACCATGTAACATGCGTGCTTAGTGCGAATTCCCCGAGCGTGACGCGCGCGGCGATACATATGCTCACGTTAAGTACATTTCGCACGAGTCGCGATTCACAATAGCGAGATACAACGCATGTATGTATACCGATAGTGACATCATGAACGAGATGATACTGCTTAACCCTATGAGAATCGGATCCGTATCTGTCAGCTGTTTTCGACAAATCTCGGCATTATATTTCCGATTTCTCTTTTCTCCCTGTTTCAAAAATATTTCTAAAATTTCAAGAAAAATATTTAAGTTTTTTTAGGAATATATAATAATATAGATTTGCTTAACTCTTCTGAAATATTTTATAGATTTTAATTTGCTATAATAATTATTATTATAATTTATTATTATATAAATTATAATCACTCGAAAAAAAAGTTAAAATACATATTTAGTAATATTTTAATTTGCTTCAATTTGCCCAATAAATAACATAATCTGTATAACTGGGAGAAATTTATTTGAACTGTAATATAGGTTTGTATTCTCTCTCTCTTTCTTTCTGCTTCAACGAACTTGACTATCTGACAAATTAAATAATTCTTTGATAATCAATTCTTTGACAATAGATTATTGGCTAATCATAAAGAATATGTGTAGTTCAAAGTTTCCGTTCGACTTATCTTATCTGCAGATAAGACAAGACAGGTGTGATTATTAGAAAATATCTCTAACGCTGTGCGTATTAGACTGCGTAGATATTGTACAAGCGTGAATTGACGACTAGAAGCATTTTATTACGTAAGTTAATTACATAACAGAAATATATTCGCAGTTACAGAAAGCTTTCGAAGTAACAAGCAGGAAATGTTTAATTTCGCGTATTTACCAGAATAGGATGGATTGTACGCCATGAAGGTACCGATATTTTCTTGAAATTATTTGTTTATCTCGTTTTTCCGGCTGGTGCCTCAATTATCATCCTTAATTTTCACAAATACACTAAATACGGTGCAGGAGGTGAAACGCGAATGGACGGTGACACCCAACTGATTCTGCTGCCAGCCGAAGACCACTGACAGCACTCTTATCACATATCGCATGTGTATTATGTCGGCCGGCTTATTTATGTAGCAAAAGCTAAGTACACGTATACGTGTGCAGCAATACATAGGCGTAGGAGCATACTTAAAAACCGCGAGATGAAAAAGTAATGAAACCAATTGCAAAGTTCGATTATCAATATAAGTGCAATGTTGAGAAAATATACAGTAATATAGGTTGTATAAAACACGTAGAAAGATAAAAAAACGATTAAACGAACAAATTATCGTTACGCGTGCACGAAGGATGCAATCGCGTGCATACAACTGACAGGATAGATACGTGAAACTCG